ATAGATAGATAGATAGATAGATAGATAGATAGATAGATAGATAGATAGATAGATAGATAGATAGATAGATAGATAGATAGATAGATAGATAGATAGATAGATAGATAGATTAGATATATAGATAGATTCGATAGATTAGATAGATAGATAGGTAGGTAGATAGGAACTTAGGTAACAACAAGTTACGTCTTGTACCTGAAGACATAAAGCCGTGATCAACATAGTATTTAACTAGGGTCATGATGCCGAGATCAAATATGTCCTTTACCTGGGGTCATAAAGAAGAGATCAACAGAGTATTTTACCTAGGTCCATAATGCCGCGATCAACAATGTCTTGTACCTTGAGTCATGAAGCCGAGATAAAAAAAAATTCTTGTACCTGGAGTCATAGAGAAGAGATAAAAAATGTCTGATACCTGGACTCATAATGCCGAGATCAGCAATGTCTTGTACCTGGATTCATATAGCCGAGATCAACATAGTATTTTACATAGGGTCATAAAGCCAGGAATTCTAATACACGTTTAAAAATTATTTTTTTTATTGTTCATTGTTTGAATTTTAAAAAAAACAACAACATAGGTAATAAACTCATTACTGAATAACTAGTTTTTCCGTTAATGATTATACTAGAAAGTTGCGACAAAGTTAAGCTTGCGTAGCAAGCCAGCAACCGTCGGTCTGGTCCTGCTCCACCCTTCAGTCATCGTTCGACCTGTATATGCCAATCAAAACTTTAAGCACAACAGTCTTTTGTTAATCGCCTTTATAAAACATTTTATTGCCGTTTCCCCTTGAAAACATGTCCGACGTTGTGATGACAGCATAACCAGGATTATTGTTACAAATTGAGAAAATGGCGTTGAAGGGAGCAGGCTAGGACTGGGTCTGACTTATTAAGATCTTATCAAAAATGTATCATAAACATGTAAGTTTCTTTTCATAACTAATGAATTATTATTTCACAAAAAAAAAAAAAAAAAAAAAAAAAAAAAAAAAAAAAATTTTTTTTTAAAAAAAAAAAAAAAAAATATTAATTTAAAAAAAAAAAAAAAAAAAAAAAAAAAAAAACAGAATTGATTTTTTTTTAAAATTAAAAAAAAAATGTAGTCATCTGGTTTTTAAATTTGAAAAGAATGAAAGTCTTACGTTTAAAATGTATGTTGTACTTAGTACAATGAAGACTTGAAGATAGAATTAACACTAAAGTTCGAATTTAGTGCGGAAGTAATTTGTGATCATAAAGAAAGGGAAGAGATTTTTTTAAAGTAAATATTTAATCAACATGACCTTATTCAAAATTCTTTTTATTTATTGAGGTCAGGTCAAGTATATAGCTATTTTGTTGGTCATAACAACATATTTGATTTTTATTTTATGTTTCAATTTTTTAAGAGCCCAAAATATACCTTTTTTAAAAAAAAATTTAAAAAAAATTAAATAGTAGCGATTTATAGCAATGTGTAAAATTATCTATATTTAAACCTGTAAGTTAAAAAAAAAAATGTTTTACTACAGAGTCCACATAATCACAATAGGTTTAAAGGGAATGACAATCCTTGGAAAGTATCGCTTCATCATGGTATATAAACGTCGTACGGCCCATTTCGACAAGTGCATCTCGGGCAACCATTGGGGCCCGTGCTCCAGATGGTCTGATATTGACATTGACAATCAACTGTCTGACATACTATGCACTGACAAATTGGGCAGCCATTGGCGTCAGTAGCTTGACCATATGGACAGTTTAAGTTCGGACAGTAGACAGGATTGCAGACTGGTGGGTTACATTGACAAATTGGGCAGCCATTGGCGTCAGTAGCCTGACCATATGGACAGTTTAAGTTCGGACAGTAGACGGGATTGCAGACTGGTGGGTTACATTGACAAATTGGGCAGCCATTGGCGTCAGTAGCCTGGCCATATGGACAGTTTAAGTTCGGACAGTAGACAGAATTGCAAACTGGTGGGTTACACTGACAAATGGGACAGCCACTGGCGTCAGTAGCCCGACCATACGGACAGCTTAAGTTCGGACACTGGACGGGGTTGCAGCCTGGTGGAGGTTTGCATTTACAGGTCCTTCTATAACAGTCAAAAGCATTCGTTTCAAACCCGTAGGGACACTCCACATCTATACAGTAAATATTCTCAGGGCATTCTCCTAATGGACTTTCACCTGTGAAATAAAATTTGTGTTTTTATAAAAAGATACTCTTTTAGAAATTGAACAAACAATTTGTAAACTTACACTGCATACATGATTATTATTTTTTTTTTACTTAGAAGGTATTGCAAACTAAAATTGGTCGTAGTTAAAACTTTCATATTTTAGAGGAGGGGAAAAGATTGGGGAGAACAACACGTTTGTAAGAGATGGGGAGGTCACACTGGAGAAAAGCAGAGAAGAAGACAGGGAGATGAAACAGTGGTGTGGCTATGGTTTGTGCCACTCGATGAGGGCCAAACATTGTGCAGCCCCCCCCCCTTTTCCCCCAATCCCCTCCAAGAAAAAAACTCTGAAGGTGTCCGACAACGCCGCCCCTAGGTCGCACAATGACAATTGTTCATCATTCAACGCCATTGAGACCCGGGGTGTGGATGGTTTGTAACAAGAAAATTGATCGCAAAGATTTTTTTTTTAAAAAGTTAAATAATAATTTGTTAACTCAAATGTTTAAAATTTAACCTTTAAAATGAATAGTGGGGATTTCTTTTCTTTGAACGTGAGTCCACTTTTGGTAAACAAAATTAGTTATCGTTAAGAATGAAACAGCTTCATATAAATAGAAAATTGAATACCGTGCCCGACACCATATGCTCAGTTCTACTCACCTGCCCACGCAACGTTGATAACCAGACAGCTGGACACCATCAACACAAGGACCAACCTGCACACCATCAACACAAGGACCGACCTGGACATCTTCGGGTAAATCAGCAAGGAGGAGAAAGTGTTTGTCGGGCGCCGTGGGGAGCAGCCTTTTTGTAGCAGCGGCGAGTCTGTGTCAAGGTGTGATTTCATACAGTGACGTCAGTAAAATATGTGAACCCATAAATTATAACTAAGCCCAGCCCTATTTTCTGATGGAAATCAAATTATGACGTCTTGTGAGGTCACAATAACTTATTGTCTTGACAGGCTGTTTTGAAACAATATTGTGAAATAAATATAAAAAAAACACATCCTGTTCAATAAGCCGAACGATTGGATCAAACACGGGGGACATAGATACATATCAATGGCGAGCGTCTTTTCTGTTAATCCCTGCATCGTGAGGGGTACGGGCATCGCGTATGTCAGATTTAATGACCCTCAAGGCCAAATTTCAAAAGAATGCCGCGAAATGTTTGCTCCCACCAATCAACTACATTGCAACAATTTTTCTTATGCAAACACTCAGATATCGACTACATTTATAAAGCTAGACCGTACAACCGTCTGATTCTATATTTATAAATCTAGACCATGCATCTGCCTGTACCTACATTTATACACTTAGACCACGCATCTGATTGCATCTACACTTTTAAATCTAGACAATGCATTTGTTTCTATCTACATTTATAAATCTAGACAATGCATCTGCTTGTACGTACATTTATAAATCTAGACCATGCATATGCTTGTACCTACCTTCATCTACTGGATTCTACATTTATAAATCTAGACCATTCATCTTTTGGATTCTACGTTCATAAATCTAGACAATGCATCTGCTTGTACGTACATTTATAAATCTAGACCATGCATATGCTTGTACCTACCTTCATCTACTGGATTCTACATTTATAAATCTAGACCATTCATCTTTTGGATTCTACGTTCATAAATCTAGACTATGCATCTGCATGTATCTACATTTATAAATCTATACCGTGCATCTGCTTGTACCTACATTTATAAATCTAGACTATGCATGTGTTTATTCAAAATTTATAAATCTACACCATTCATCTATTGGACTCTACATTTATAAATCTAGACCATGCATATGCTTGTAGCTACATTTATAAATCTAGACCATGCATCTGCTTGTAGCTACATTTATAAATCTAGATAATGAATCTGCTGGTATCTACATTTCCTCACTTGCAAAATTTTAATTAACTACTTTTGCCAATTCAAAGCAGGGGTTTTAAAATTAATCACTAATTATTTGGCCTTTGTCTTATTTTTTAAACATTGCCTGCCTCTCAATCAAGAGGTCATGGGCTCGAATCCCACGAGTTATTGGTAAAAAAAAAACTGTATGGTATTGGAGGAAACCTCTTTTTTTCCGGCGAGAGCAATTTTGTTAAGGTTGTCCATGTTTCGTTTCATTGGTCAATTCATATGTAAACATGGATTGGATCACGAAACCATGAATTGAAAGGAAAGAAATTAAACAAATTGAAGTCATACTTTAATATATATATTGGTTCTGTTTTAATTAACCATATTCGAGTTGCTGGAATCGAGTTTATAAAAGACAATCTCGATATAGGGCAGGGGTCTCAAACTCAAGGCCCGTGGGCCATTTGCGGCCCGCAAGATGATATTTTGTGGCTCGCTTCCTGACAGAAAAGTTTAGTGCTAATGCGGCCCGTGCGTTTTGGCATTCTCACATCTATAATGTGACCCTCCGCTACGGTTTCAGTCGAATCTCACCGAATAGTCTAATTCTGATTTTTATTATGTTTTTATACATTTGGACGTTGATTATAATGCTAAAATCCGTTTTAAAATGGACTAAAAGTTTTGATGTTATTGCATTTTATGAGACAAACATGACCAGAGTGCGGTTTTGAGAAAAGTTTTAAAAGTCAGTTAGTGGGTAATGCACAGCCACAATTGTGTAGATTGTAGCAATCTGACACAGTATCAAAAATTGCCGTTAGTGTTTACGAGTGAGGGACATTCCGAGACTGTCAACTTGGTCTTTATCAAAATAGGGTTAGTCAAAAAGACCTTTATTACGATAAAGAAATAAAAAATTATTCTCACTACAATAACTTCTTCCTGCACATACATCATTCATAAATATGGCCTGCTCCTGCGTACAGTTTGAACACGTTTCAGCATTAAAAGCCTTCATGGAGAAAGATGGGCTTGTTGTTCCTGTACTAAGTGATCCCAAATGGCTCATGGACATGGCTTTTCTTGTTGACATTACACAGGAGCTAAATGTACTCAACAAGAAATTATAATACCAGGGGTAGCTTGTGAGGTTTGCCTATGAAAATGTCAGGGAATTCTGCACAAAACTTGTTTGATGGTTCCTAGAGAAACCTCTGCCATTTCCCAACATGCACAGTATTCATGGACTCGGGCACACCCTTCTGTAGTAACTCAGTAGTAAGTATACTGATGCTATTGCAAAGCTACAGGAAGAATTTGATCACATTTTTAGACTAAAAAACACACACAGCCACTTTTCAGCTTTTTGCTGACCCTTTCTTCTTTAATGTGGAAGATGCCCACCGCCTTTTTGCGCTTCAAATGGAGCTGATTAATCATCAGTGCAATTCTAAGTTCAGGGAGGTGAATGAAAAAACAGACAAGCATGAACAATTTATTAGAGCATTGCCCTCCACTTTCCCTGAGATTTTCAGGTTGTACAAGCGGATCATATGGCTTTTTGGGAGTACCGCTCTGTGCGAAAATCTCTTTTCCACTATGAACTTTAACAAGTCAAAGTTCAGGGCCAAACTTACTGATGAGCATCTGCAAGCTACACTGAGGGTCTCAGTTGCTAGTTGCTTCCTCACTCCGGTCAAAGTTGCTCAGCTGTGTAAGAAGAAGCACTGCCAGGTCTCTGGCAACATTGAGTAGGAGGAAGAAAATGAGGCCTAGTTCTTGAGAACCCTTAATGTTTTTATTTTTTAAATTTAAAATGGTTTAGCAGATTGTAAAAGTTGTACTTTAATTTTTAATCGCTTTTTTGTGTGTGGAATACTTGATGCGGCACAGGCTCAATCAGACTCTATCTCCTGCGGCCCCCGGATGATTTGAGTTTGAGACTCCTGCTGTAGGGGCAACTCAAAAGTAGAAAAAAGAGGGAGGCGTATAAGGGCGGACAAGCTACTGTCTTTTTTTTAAAAAATGGGCGTAATCCATAGATTACTTAGATCAGTTTGGAAGCTATTTTTATAAGGAATATATAACCCTAGTGGAAACAACTAGACTTAACTTTCGATTTTTGAGGATCACAGCATTAACTATGTGACATTAACTGTGTGGCATTCACTGTGTGGTATTAACTGTGTGGCATTAACTGTGTGGCATTAACTGTGTGGCATTCACTGTGTGGCATTCATTGTGTGGCATTAACTGCGTGGCATTAACTGCGCGGCATTAACTGTGTGGCATTAACTGTGTGGCATAAAGTGTGTGGCATTAACTGTGTAGCTTTATTTGTGTGACATTAACTGTGAGGCATTAACTGTGTGGCATTAACTGTGTGGCATTAACTGTGTGGCATTAACTGTGTGGCATTAACTAAACGGTGTCTACGCAAAAATTCTGCAATCCTGCAATGTTAAATTATAATTGCTAAAATTGGGGACGCAAAAAAAAAACCCTCACACATTTAAACTTGTATTTTACGTCGTCATCAACATTCAAATATTTCCCCACAAGTTGTGCCTGTGTCCATAAATATTCTTTGCTGCGAAGGCGTTCACACGATCTATTTATCACAGACCACTGAATATTTTCGCAATAATATAGTTTGAAGCACCACCCGGGGCTGCAATTTTGGAAGCAGAAATTATGGGTTGGTTGTAAGATATCAAGCCTGGACCCTGACGCTACATTGTCTGTTGGTCTCTGTCCCAGGCACCTTGGCACCAGCAGTGTGTGATCCAAGACTAATCTCTGTTGGTCAGAGACGCCCTGGTTTGTGTGTCGAAGGTCGTACGGTTTTATATCAAGTCTCTATTTTTACATGTGCGAAGAATGGAAATGACTCTGGCGGTCCAGCGAATGCATGATAATAAGGTATGTCGGTGTATGAAGGGTTGTTAGCTAGTGACTACATTCAGTGGCTGAGGAAACCGGAGGGGTGGGTGGTCCGCACCTGGTGGAACTTATTTCTCTATATAAAATGAGTAAAACAAAGAAGGGTTAAACCTGGAAAAAAAAGGAGCGAAACAAAACAACGCACATGACGGCAGAAAGCTTTATTCAGCGAACAAAACAACATAAAAAATGGTATAAAAAATATATAGCACTTAGCTTAGAAAAGAAGTTGTATCCTTGGGCAGCAAAAGAAAAGCCACATTTCTTTTGCTGTCCACTGATACTACTTCTAAGCTACGTGCTATATATATATATAATTTTTTTTTAAAAATGCGTATACCGTTTTTTATAACCATTTTTTTAAATAAGAAGTTTGTAGTTTCATTTAACTTACACATTATTCTATTATTATAACTAGTTATAGCTCGCAAAGAGATAGCAGCGTCAAATAGTGAACTTCCCATCTACTACAGTTACTTGACAAAACATGAACTCATGCAGCGCAATTGATAAGAATCTTAATTTTTATTTACCACGCCTCTCCCCCCCCCCCCCCCCCCCCCCATAGGTACTCCACCAAACACGTTTTTAACACCCCTACACTCTATTAACATTCTAATGCCCCACCCGCACTTACACCGCATGTTTATTTTACCAAATACAAATTGTGAGGCAGTGAGATATAGAGATAAAAAGGATTCAGAGAGATTAAGAGAGGACCGGATTAAGGCATTTAGATGCCCTAAGAACCCGAACGATCTTCAAAGGTTTTGTGTCAACATACCCTGACCCGGATCGGGTGTAAAAAAAAATGCCCACCGGCTCATCTCTAAAAAAAAGAAAAAAATACCTCGGTCAATTTTAGTGACGTTTAATCAAAAGAGCTTTGTGTGACACAACCAGGTAAGGTACGGCTAGAGACCGACCGAATTTCG